CTAGCGGCAATTTTTGCAGAGTCAAAATAATGAAAGTAGACTTATTTCCATGTTTGAAAATAAAATGTACATAGTTAACAAATACTTTCAATTTCAAAGACATCTCATTGATGGATACAAAGCCTAATTCCTGAAATTTGCCGTTATCAATATTTCTCGCCTCATGAATATTCATTGAATTTCGCCGAACAAAACTAACTCGTACACCAACCGACTTGCATATTCGTAATCAAACTACAGATGTCAATTCGTACACAATTTTTCGTTTTTTCTCACATGTTCGAAAAATCAGTTCGTATGCACATTCTGTTTCATTTAAAATTACCAAATATTTGATGAAAAATGTTTGTAGATAATTGTTTCACTATCAACTCCGAAATCAAATACAGTTGTAATCATTAATTGGTAAACAACACACTGACGGCTGTTTCTTAAATACTGCTTTGTGGAATTTTTATACAATAAAACTTAAATAGTTTATTGTATTTTTTTTTTAAAAGTCTTTTGATTGTTTCTTATATCTATTTACAATGTTATGTTAGTAAAACGAATATGTGTGTTTTAGGAAAGAAGAAAAAAATATCACTATCTTAATCAGTTAATAATACGGTTGTTGAAGTATAAGATGGCATAAAATTTGTATTTACATGTACAATTCTAGTTTCTAAAAATAAGACTTTGTCTGATTATCTCGGACACAAAAACGACTTAACGGATAATAAATTGTCAAAGTTAATAATTACAAAGACTGTAACGGACAAAAATTACCCATTTCCTGTTTAGAAACGCTATCGTGCCTCTGACAAATGTACCTTTTAAAGGGTGTGCGAAAAAGGGTACTCAAATACATGTGCATGAAATACTACCAGTATTAGGATTTTCATGCGATTTTATTGGACTGAATTTAGGTCAGTCTTCTGGTGTGTTCACAAAGCAGTAAATATGTATTGCGCGATGACTTGCAGGATCATTGCATTTTATAATATTACGTATGAGACAAACCATCATCGCAAACCACCGCTTAAATGCACGATCCTCTCTCAGAGCTCAATACGTATATCGTATATCGTATATCGTATATACCCGTATATACAGACTCCGACTTGAGACGACGGAAAATAGAAACAGAAAAATATTTTGTTATTCTGTTTTTCTTTTTTCCGAGCATTATAAGTAGGTTGTTCGTTAATATCGTGTACAAAGAATTTTTCTCTGCAAGATGAAAATTTCAGCAAGTATTTATTTATAATATTTCAGTGTATCTGAATTATTTTGATAAAGTATAAAAAAAAAAATAATAATAATACTAAATGTACATGCGCACGAAAAAAACGGTTCTAAAAATATTATACGAGTATTGTTTCGAAATAAAAGTATTAGATAGATTTTTGTAACATTATCCTATTTTGTGTCACTATCTATTATGTCGTCTTATGGAAATTTTAAAGAACATTTGCTTAATGGTTTTTGGCAGTTTTTGCAAAAATTATGGTTTGTACAAAAAATATAAATTTATATATAAAAATACAGGGAAAAGTTTTAGTTTGTGGTACTTAAAAATATTTTTAGTAAAAATGCAAGTTTTGTGTACAATATAGTGTTAACCATTAAATTTGCCACACATTTTTTTTCATTGTTGCCTTAGTTCACGAGTTACATGTAGAGGCATGTTACTAAAAATAGAACTTGTATTCAAAATAGGAGCTTAAAATCATGGAATCTAGACATATTTGAGGAAGTATCAACAATTTCTGACATTTCATGCATTGAAACTAATTGGTAGGCATAAAAGTATGTTGCCTAGAGCATCATTCAGGATAGTAAAATTTATTCAGTACTTATCCAGTCTAAGTGCAAAAAGGTCACAAATCGTCCAAAGTTTACTTTTCCAAAAAAATCCAATTTTTATGAACTTTCAAGTGTCCGTAAACACTCTAATATGTTTTACTGTAATAACACCTTGACGTACAGACCATAATTAGAAAAATATATAAAAAAAAATCTATCTTTGGACTCTTCCAAGTATGGTAGATATATGACGTAACGAACAATGCTATATTTTGACATTATACAAATCATGGTTTTACAGGGAAAAATTTTAGTTTGACGTATTTATAAATATTTTTAATAAAAATGGATTTTTTTTGTGCAGTGTAGTATTGCATGATACACCATTAAATTTGCCTCATTTTTTTTTATTTTGCCTTAGTTCACGAGTTAAAGGCATGTTACTAAAAATAGAACTTGTCAAATTAGGAGCTTAAAATCATGGAATCTAGACCTATTTGAGGAAGTCTCAACAAATTATGACATTTCATGCATTGAAAATAATTGATAAGCATAAAAGTATGTTGCCTAAGGTATCATTCAGGATAGTAAAATTTATTCAGTACTAATCCAGTCTAAGTGCAAAAAGGTCACAAATTGTCCAAAATCCACATTTCCCAAAAAATCCAATTTTTATGAACTTTCAAGTGATTCTTACAGGGTCCGTAAACGCTGCAGTTTGTTTTACTGTAATAACACCTTGACGTACAGACCATAATTAGAAAAATATAAAAAAAATCTATCTTTGGACTCGTCCAAGTAGCATAGATACAACGTCACAAAAATGCTTTAATTTGAAGTTTTGCAAATCATATCCATAATAAAAATGGTTAAAATAGCTAATATCTCGTATTCATAATTTACCGGTGTCTGGAAATCGTTTCAGCAATTGTCACTTTATAATATTTAAGAATAAACAGGACAATTATAACACAATACTATGTAAAAAGAACAAAAACATTTTACTAGTAATTCAGAACATATATGTTGTCATAGGTAACAATGTTATCTTGGTACATGTATATTTTTTCTGTTGTAATTGTAAGAAATTTATTTTTTGCCATCTAAAAATAAAGAATATGTTGCCATGGAAATACCATATTCTTGGAGTTCTATCATTTACTTTGAAAATGATGAAAATTACTTTACCAATTTATTACGCTTAAATCAGAACATCAAGAAAAGTCTTATATTTACAAACATTTAAAATTAAAATTGGTTTCAATACAAATAAACATTGGTGTACAAAAATATAGAATTATGCAAATGTTGCCATGGAAACATCATATTTTTATAAACATTTTTTTGAATTTTTCTGACATATTCAGAAAAGCTAGACTTTGAATACTATGAGAATACTTTAGATCATTACCTTTGCTAATACACATACATGTACATATAAATATATCTCTAACTTTAGATGATTATTATTTATGTTCTGAAAGAGATACAAAACTTGAAAGAACATTTTTTACTAACAATGCATGAAAGCTACCATAGAAATGTTACCAATTGGTTACCAAACAAAACAAAAATTGAAATATCTAGTGTTTAAATGAGAAATACATATTTGCTTATATTATGCTACAAGTAAGTGCATTTCATGATATGCTGGAATTGGTTACTAATGTATCTTAGAGAAATATCTTACACTCTTGGAATAAATTTGCAAAATATTCACTTTTCACACATACAAATTTATCAGAAAGGTTGCCATGGATGCACGAAATTACGTATTTACAGCATTTAACACATTTTCATACATAGCTGACAACAGTCTCATGATGTTCCTCTGCCTTGAGATTCATGACAATTTCTTGGAGATGTTCATCATTCACAAAGCTCTCTGTATCCACTAAATCAACTGAAAAACCTGTACGTACTCCTTCTCTGACTTTGCACTGTTTCTTCTTATTATTTATGTAAGATCCAAACAAGTTTCTGAGCTGATTTGCAGTCAGCCACTCATGTGGCCTGAAGAGGCGACAACCATTTTCATCAGAAGCTTTTTTCAGTTCTCCACTTAAGGCTGCATAGTTTGGGCGTTTTCCTGTCTTCTCACAGTTTTCAAAAATCTGCTTTACATAGTCTTTTACAATTAGTGAGAACCTGCAGCATTTACTTACAGATTTTAATGCCCACCCTCCTGAACTTTGGGAACAGGTATCATCACTGTGAGCAGTTAGTGTCTCACAGATGTGAGTGTATTTGTCAAGAATGGCAGAACACTTCTCAACCCAGATTTTTATTCCAGAATCAATCCCAGTTTCCTCTGATTTTCTGTACAGGTGGTTCCCTAGAGCAAGATGTTTCTCGAGATTGTCAGACCTCACATACTGTTTCTGACAAGAGGGATCTGGACAGCTATACAATTCATTTTGCAATTGTGTCTGATCATGGTCCTGCTCATCGACAGCTTCACTTCTGTTGTTGGGGTTTCTTTTTCTCACACAAACTTGTCCAGTATCAACTGCATGTGATGGAAATTCTTCTAAAACCTATGCCAGAAAAAATCATAACCCATTAGTAATATTTAACTGAAAGAATAGCATTTTACTTACTATATTGCAGAAAAAAACAACTGTTAAGATAATTTGTGTTTATCCATGATACAAAAAGTGATTATAGATTTGTAATTATGACAAGTACCTGGTAACCCTTCATTTCTCTCACTTCAAGATGTTGATCTTTCAGATGTTTAGTCTCAATGAGTCTTCCGCAACCAACCTGGTATGCCTTTCTCCCAATTATGGAATCCTTGTCAAACATGAAATTGTTCAGAAGGCTGATCTGAGGGATTTTTGATTTTATTTTTGGTTCCTCTGCATTGTCGATGGATATAACACAGGCTTTGGTTCCTTTTAAGCCATGATTGCTTTCTAAAGCTCTTTTCAAATCTGAGGCAGAGAGAACATCATTTCCTTCATCCAAATATCGGGCCACATGCATTCGACAGGAACCAGTTTTGCTATCACAAAGATCTTTACCAGACTGTGCTTCACTAAAGTTGAACTCCTTGATGTTAATTGGAAAATTGCAGTAATTCTGACTGACAAATGAAATCAGTGGTGTACAGTGGTAGCATCCAGCATTGTCTGTCTTTAAGAAGATCTCTTGAAGGTTTGGAAATTGGTTTGACAGCGTTGGAAGAAGATGCCTGATGACATGAGCAACAGAAAACCAACCTTGATTTCCATTCTCAAGGATATGGATATAGGTGTTCATGTCGAGATGGTCTGGCAAGGTGCTAGCTGTTGGTTCAGGGTCACTCTTCTGGGTAATTAAACAGGATATATGCCAACTAATTCCCCTTTTTCCAAAGAAATTTGACTGTGTTTCTCTGTACTGGAGAGGAAGGAATTTCATTAGCCCAATCCATTATCAGAAGTCCTTGGTTTGGGTCAAGGTGTTGTAAGACATCTGATCTTGCAAAGTCTTGATGAACAGTTCTGAGAAGGTGGGCCTTCCAGTCCTTGATAGCTTTTGTTGTCATGACAATTTCATGCTGCATTTCCTCCTTTAAATCCTCAGATGGTATTTCAACTGTTTCCGTGGCTTCCTTGATGCACTCTGTAAGTTTGTCTGTCAAAACACAAGAGGAGCAAGTGTCTGAATGTTCATGGTCACAATTACTTGAAAAGCATGTATCTGCTGGATCACTTAGGGCATATATTGTACAGTGATCACTGCATGATGAACTTCTGCTAAAATGATTCTTTGCATCAAATTTCAAATGTTGATTACATATGTTGATCATGTCAATCAGATTCTCTTTTTTCTCTGTCTCCAATCCGCATTCACCAAGTTGTGTCACAACCTTGTGTAATGACTCCATGGCATCCATTCCAAGGGCTGTGGTGTTGTCAAGTCCATGCATTGCTTTCCTTTTTGATGCTCGACAGGCTTTGAGGATTCTGTACAATGAAGCACGGCTGAAAGTTTGGAAATCAGATTCCTTGCAATACTCTTGATAGTTTGCAATGATTCTGGCACTCACAGCATTTCTGATGACCTTTGGAATCTGCACCTTTTCTCCACTTGACAAATGTAGTTGTGTGGCACCAAAACCAATAACCTGGGAAACTGATGGCATAGATACATATTCAATAAAATGCAGCAATTTCGGTCTGGTCAGACGTACTCTGTATATCTTTGGTGGATTCAGCATTTGTCCTGGTCCTATGACTGAGGCACGTTTTCTAGCTGCATCAATTTTGGACTGTGTAAGAGATGGTATAAGCTGAAGAAGCTTTTGCTTTGTAAAGTTGTTTACAAACAATGACAGGATCTGCTGTTGTGTTTTTCTGTCTGATGTGGCATGATAGGCATCTATCAACTGTTTTGTGGCTTTGTCTATTTCTTTGCTTTCATTCTCAGATGTTTCACAGATTTTGCCGAGAATGGTGTCTTCTTGTCCTGGGGCAATGATGGACAGAACTATCATTACAGCTTCTTTAGCTTTGCTGATGTAGTAATACTTTGCAGACTTTGCTAATTCAGACCAGGGTCTTGTAAGCTGGGACTTTAGAGGTTGAAATTGATCTCCTGAAAGCAAAATAGTCATTGTTAGAATATACAGAAATGTAATTTATTATTTAAGAAGAGTAATCCTCTACTGGAATCCACAAACAAGAGGCCCATGGACCACGTCATTCATCTAGGTCAATATGGCCCTATTGTTCTTTCTCAGCAGATTTCTTCTCCTACATAATCATATGTAAAGCTTTGATCACATTAGCCACACCCTACCCCCAGGGGTCTTGTTTTAAATGAAATTGAATCTTTACTACATGTATCTGAGGATACTTTCATATTCATATATCTCATAATGGCTTTTCTGTTTTTGAATACAACATTTTTTTGCCTGCCACCCTACCTTTGGGAGGGGGGCATAATTTGAACAAACTTGAGTCTACCCTACACTACATATATTGACATGGATTGATGCTAAAATCTGATTGACTGATCATGACTTTGTTCTTTGAGAATAAACTGGTACTCAGTTACATATGTATAATTTTTTTTCCTATTCCACAAAAACATAAATTTATTAAAAACTTACCAAAAAATAATTCATATGTGCAAACAATAATAAGAGTGCCATCGCCTACACCTGTAAAACACCAGTTATCGTCTGTGTATATATAGTAATTAGGGACCTGTGAATTACCTGGTATACAGCTTTTCTCACCTATTATGGTCCTTTTGGTGTATCGATCAAATTGATATGTTTTGTTTGGGTGACTATTTTTTTAAATAAATAATTAAGTACAATAAATCATTTTTATTATAACGCTAATAAATAGTCTGTAATAAGATATAACCAAAAATCTAGAGATTGTTTAGTGTTCAATATCATGACATTTTATTGAACGCTGCATGACTTTGTATTACATATACGAGTCTGCCCGAAACATTCTGAATACGAGCGTTTAATATCGAACACGCTAAATAAACAAAATAATGTGGCATTTAGGTAAGATTTGTTTATTTCTTACACAAAATGAATTATTTGTTAGAAATGTAGTAGGTATTAGACCCATGAAAACCTAAATAAGCAAACCATATCGCTCGGTAGGGTCATCGGAATGATGCGATATTGAACGCTCACAGCACAAATGTTAAATTTGAATATCGATATTCAAAAAAATCATTACTTTGTCTTTTTTAGTTTGAATAATTATTATAAATTAAGTGGAAATGTTTTAGCTGTACAATAAGGAGTTATTGAACTTATATTGGTGAATATTGGCACTCGTTGACTGTTCAAATGCACTCACAAGCTCGTGCATTAGCCAACGAGTGTCAATATTCAACAATATAAGTTCAATATCCCTATATCATTGAACTCGATGTTTCTAAAACATGCACTCAAATAAAAAATATTGGGGTTTAACAGAGTTAAACTGGGTTTAAGAAAATTAACAGACTTCCTATTACACTGTTAATTTTACCAAGTACCCTGTTAACGTGCATGACTGTAAACGAGTAACTGATATCAAATATTGACCAATTGACATCTCTTTCTATATATTTATTCATATGTAAAAACTTGATACCCCATTGAAGCCCATTACCTGGGGGTCATGATTTGCATGTAATAACTCTTCTTACCTAAAAGTCTCTGCAAAGCTTCATTTAGTTTTTCTCTCGGTGTTTTGTTCTTTTCATACCAGTCCTGGGAAGAAGGTAGGGATGGGGCACAGGAACCCGTGGCTGGAAAAAAAATTAATTGTTAAATTAATAAGTTTTACACTATGATGCCAACTAGAAGCTTGCAAGACAAAATGACATAAATGCTACAAGATGATGCTTCCAAATCCATATTACTAAATCATTGCTTACCCGGTAACTATTGTTATCAAGATTTTAAGATGTGGCCCCATCCTACCCCTAGGGGGTCATGATTTAAACCAACCCTGTGAGTTGACGTATGAGCCACATTGGATCAAGGGGAGAGATGAGTTATGGACAAGGATTTTTTTATGTCATTCTGCTATGTCCTTGACCCTAGACCTAGAAACAGCACAATGCACACCTTTTACCCAAAGGCAATCTTTAGGTGAAGTATGAGCCCTACTGGAACAAGGGAAGAGAAAATATGCTCTAGACAAAGATTTTTCATATAATTTTGCTATTACTTTGATCTTAGACCTATAAACATGGTTCAAGGTCACTGAACAGCTGAACACTGTTAACTCAAAGGAACTCTGTGAGTAAAGTATGATTGGGCCAAGGACTTGGAGAGAGAAGATATGCTCCAGACAAGAGATCTCGGATGGACAGATGGACTGATGGATGGAAGGATGGGCAGACTGATCACTATGGGGTGCCCGCAGAGTAGGGTCCTTATAAATTGAAGTAATATAGTAAACTAATTAAAATACCAAGTTTTCATGTAAGTGATTTCTGGAAGTGTCAAATACTCACAGGAAATCTCAAACTCCATGTCTGTAATTAAACTCCCTGTGAGAGTTTCTTGTGAACTTGGTACACCTATAATTATTGAATTGATCGTGTAATGAACAAATGAATACAATATATTGATAGAAAAAAGTTTATAAATTCCCTTAGATATATTTTTACTGCAATCAGATATGACTTTAGATAAGAATGAATTTAACTAAATAAACTTAACCCTTACAAAGTCATGGTCAATTTTCATAATGATATCATATTTTAAACTGATTATATGTATTAGATATGAGCCTTGCAATTCATATTTTATTTATGATAGTTACTTTGAAATAAAAATTTAATTGTTCTGACTTATTGTGGCATTATAAAGTTAGTTACCACTATGATCATATTCATGGCTTTTTTACATTGGTAAGATGTACTATTTTTATTCATACAAGTGTACATACTGTCATTAATATCCTGAATGTCAAATGCCATTCCTTCTTCATTTTCAACATCTTGCGTATCCACCAAGTGAGACTGTAGACATTCACCTAATGAAATGAACCAAATTAATTCAATTTCATGACATTTATGCTATAAATTTACTTTATAAGTGGTTTAAATTCATAGATATTATAAATGCTTAAAGAATCAAAGCACAGATTATTGTGTATGATATCCTCTGAATTTGCTATACTTTCTTGTATTATTAAAACAATAGATCTTGAAAACTTTTTAGTAAATTTTCATTGGAATACAATTAGATGTCCAAAATAAAGTGAAGTCATGTAATCTACTTACAAAATAATTTCCAGAAAGAATGGCAAGAATAATGATAACACAATAGTGAATAATCACAAACATTATAAAACAATGAAAAATATTTACCTTGAATATTTGACTGTGTGCATTTGCCTCTAAGAGTTCTACAAATTTGTTCACACCACTCTGAAAGTAAAATAATGTGATCTACTAAATATGTTATTTTTTAATAAAAAAAATTAATTAGTCAGGAATGGCACAAGTTGCATGTGCAATAATGTGCTAGACTAGCAAGGTATATTGCATATCATATACAGCAGCACTGAAGTTTCAGAATTTCACAAGTTTTATAAAAAAAAAAAATGTCTGAGTACCCCTGGTACTTTATCTACTTGACATTAAAGAATTTTGTCTTATATGTATAAAATTATTAAGCAAAGAATCTTTTGTCATTCTAATCCCCCCCCCCAAAAAAAAAATTCAGGCTTATAAAAAGCAATTTCATTTGGGAGAAGGGGGAGCAAGGCCAATCAGTTTGAGTGGGGGGTGGGGGGACTATAAGTATCAATTAGCAAAATTTTCTTGAACAAGTTAAAAAAAAGATCATCTGTCATTTTATTGAAGGGGCCACATGTATATATATTGGCTAATTTTTCTATAGTATTCTATACATGGGGAAAATATTTCCTAAATTCCTAGGAATAATCCACTAATATGGCCATGTATTTTGAATCTGAAAATTGGTTACACATATCTCAGTGCAATATGCATATTAGCCTAGCTATTGTATAGTTTACAAATATAATAATTACCAAGTTCTTCCACAAACTCTAAATTGTAAGATGGAGAGACATTCTTCTTATGTTCCATTGAGCACTTCTTGCATATTGCTACAAGACAAATAAATAATGCATATTATGTCAAAGTACAAGTACACTCTTAAAAGAACTTAAATAAAGGCATATATAACACATCACTATTTTTAAATTCAATTTCTTTAAATTTCCTAAGCTTAAAATATGTATTATAAATACCGGTAGGCGGTAGTGGTCGGACACTGGTGTACACTGTTTTTATAGATAATTTTTTATTCAATGGGTGGATTTATACAAAATTTAATGCAGATTTCCAATAATGGGCCTAAGTGACAATTTTCTTTCAGCATTAAAAAAGGTTTATGTAATTTTTAAATAAATTCCTAACAGACCATATAAGTGTTTTTACTTGCATGCAGTGATCTGTTTGTAAATCACTTATCATTTTCTCAAATTACTTTATGTATAAGCTCTTTAATTTTCTTGAATTTATAATTATTTATTGTAGATTTATTCTACTCTATCATTACATAACTCAATGTGCTTTTAAAATAATCAATTATTGACAAAATTGGTTCACAATAATTATAACCAACCTGCCCCTACTGGTAATATTTGTCTTGTCTTTAACCAGAGTTCTTTGCACAATCTTGGACTGGCTCCTCTGTCTGGTTTTATCTTTCCCTGATGACCAGGATAAGAACAGGTTCGCCTGGGTCTTTTCCATCTTGCCCCCAGCTCTTCACGGTGCTTTATGCATATTTTCATCGATAGAACGGTTTTATCAATCGTGAAATACCCACTTCGATATAATATTAACATATACTCGGGGCATATGTGGGCATCATAAACATGCTTGTGTATAATTTCTGCACTTTGAAGAGAATATAGATGGTTCAAAATATCTCTGTCACATTCATAAATGTAAAAAGTTTTGCCCAAATCACAATCAGATTCTTCATCATGAAAGTCACACACAGGTGGTGCTTGTAAATGAATCTCCATTTCCAATTATAAATAAATCATATCAACTATAGAAATAATGGAAGTCATTCTGGTTAAATAGATCTGACCACAAAGATCTTAAATTAAAAGATTAACCAAACTCATCATGATCACTGTTTTTGACCTCCATTTGACTTCCCTTCTCTTTTCTACCTCCTCTGAATGAAGATTGCATTTAAGGGGAGGTAAATCTTATATAATTTTTTTCATAGAAACAAAAGTTATCTACACGATTTAAACAAGGAAAATATTGATTTAACAAGTATTTATGGCCAGAAAATATATTTTTCAAATTCAATCAAAATTTTAAAAACGTTTTAGGGTCTAAATGTCTAAAATATATGTAAATTCAATAATGGCCTAAAATATGCTTAATCCATAAATGTATGGGTCATTGTTAATCAATTGTGCAGTAAATGTTGAGAGTCCAAAGATGGATTTTTTTTCAGATTCAATTTAGGTCTTCTAGTTTCATAATATAGTAAAAAGGAGAAAATACAAGCGTTTACGGGTATATTTATACCTAATTTAAATTTGGCATTTTCTGAGGCATCTAGCAAAGTATTAGATATACAAATTTTCTAAATACTGCCTGACCTTTATTAAAGCAGTTCTGTCAAGGAAACTTTGTTTTTTTGAAAGAATAAGGCATAGATAATTTATATATAAATACAAAGTTTGTATGAATTTTACTCTTATTTTCATATTTTGGTGCTCAAAATGTATCGTTTTTAGTATTTTTTCACAATTTTTAGGGGATATTTGGGCCATTATATAAAATAGGTCAAAGCACAAAATAGAACAAGATTGAGGGGCAATTGAATTCCAAAATTGGACTTTCATGGGATGCTCTTCCAGTTTTAAAATATTTGAGATGTAAGCTTGTGGACCATTTTTGCCATTTTGCATGGTTTTCTCTG